CTGTCTAGGTATTAAGGACTATATGTTCTTTGCTTAATTTCTGAATCACATAATATTAACATTATAATACATACCAGTGGTTCTCAGCTGCTGCAAGATTGAATGTGATTTTATTGCCCTCCCACCAATAGTTTAAAATGATCCTTGGGTTTTTTATTGAAAACTCCAGTTTACCATAACCTGCCTAGAACTCAAACTGTGCTAGATTTTCACCTCAGAACTGGCCGAGGTTATTTGTAAAATAATCTCCATTGTAAGAATCTAGTAAACTTACCAATCTGTCTGTTATGTGGTTTTTCTGACATGACAGCTGACCACCTGTAGACCCTCACTGATTTTAATGATATGGCCGACATAAATTTTGCTAAACATGTTAAGTTTTGCTTGCTTCAAGATTTTATCAGGCTGCTTGACAGATACTAATGAAATACGTCCACGTTTGTATCCTTTTAAAGTCTTGTTCCCTGTTACCTGGTTTGTCATTATTTTCATCTGAAAGAGTAACTAAATAAAAGATAAAAAAAAAAAAAAAATCTGAGAGGTTTCAGATTTTAAATTACGTCCTAAGAGGCATTTTTTTAACATTTTATGTATTACATTTATTTATTAAATATCACGTTCTTCGCACTTAAACCATAAAATTCAGTTCAACAGCAATATCGCAAAAATAGTTTTAAAATGAGCATATCTTTAGAATTTCTGATACAGAGACTCGTGTACTGGAGATATTCTTTTTCTATACAATGTTGCCATTGCTCACTTTGAAATCCTTGAGTTTGTTAATAAAAAATTCGTTAAAAGTTTTACAAAATATGAAATCGATAATAACACAAATTTCAAATTTGGTCTTCCACATGTCCATATTTGTAGGAGGATTACATCATTCAAAATTCAATGGCTCTGTGTACTGTTGTTTTATGACAATGCGAGAAATATACATTTTATGCAGATTTTTCATTATTTAATTTCTTCAAATATAATGCAGGACTCTTAACATTTCGTGGCAACGGTTTGATTCAACGCAAAATGAAAACAGTAGTCCTTCTTTTGGACTAAATATAAAAAATAATAAAATTAATTAATAGCATATTGTAAAAGATAGGAATTTGTAAAATAGTTTTTGAAGAAATTTTAAATCTTATTTAGGGGTGTAGTCTTCCATGATACCTATTAAGTTCTGTTGGCAACCTCACAAGTCATGCCCAAGCTAATTAAATGACACTTATTTTCATCAATAACCAAAGTACCAAGGAAAAAATTTAATGCTTAGGTGCCACATCCCTACCATCTGTTATCAGGATCAGTTTAAGAAATGTATGTATGTACATTTGCAAGTATGTGTACACAATATATGCACATACATCCATATATATGTTCCTACATTTCTGGATAACAGAAGAGTTTCAAAAGTTCTAATTAATTTTTGAGGTGATTTAGCAACTGCAGTTAATATGGATCAAATGCACTGCCATTGCTTTACAAAAATAGTGTGAAATATTCCTTTTCGGAAGAATGCTATAGCCCCATTTTTATCTGATGGTAAATTGTTATCGTTTTAAATAATTTCACAATTTTTATTACTTGGTTATGATTTTTTTATTTGCTATATCACTTGGCGTTAATTAGCATCAAACTTGCTGATTAATTGCTGCCACCGGTAAAACAGACAATCATTATGTGTTGTAATGGCCAAGATAATTGTGTTTTTGCATTTAAATCATTTAAATTTAATTCTTAAATTCACTAGCTTGTTATTAGAACATGTAATATTTATTTGCACATAAATCCTAAGAAAGTAATTTTAAATGATGATTCTTCTTCCTCTTTTTAAAATTTGTTGGTACACTGCGCAAAAAAAAGGGTGAGACAGTTTTATATCTCCCATTCTACTGAGCCGATTGACACAAATTAAAATTGTGTGTTTCGTGTCTCGAAAGCGTGACTTAGGTATTTTGACATAAAATCCGACATTTTCTGAAATAACATACTATTTTATTTCCATATTTTGGTTCTACGACTCAAAATATGCCTAGATATAAAATTTTGTAAACATTGGTGCGAAATTTTCGGAGAAGTTCAAAAATTTATCTTGCCGCAATTTTTTTAGTTGGTGCCAAGCATAATTCACTTGGCGAACTTCTTAATATATGGCAACCAATTTTCCTTTCCCTTCCATTATGCTGGAGCGGGAAAAAAGGCACTTCATTCCTACCTTTTTACATTGTGCATGAGCGGAAAAAAAGTGACCTCATTCTTCTTTTAAATAATTTTAACAAAGTATCTAAATCACATTTGATGTTTTATCGCTTTCAACAAATATGCCAAATTTCAAAATGTGCCAATATATAAATTTCCATATATCTTAGTAGAAAGTTTGTAGATTTGAGGTCCGGATTGTGAACGTCTGGATTAAAGACTTTTGACTGTATATACCAAACTCGATTAACACTGAGGAGCTAAAATTTTGAGAGCTAATTGTTTAAAAACTACTAGTGCGATTTTTACAAAACTTGGTAGTTTGGCATAATTTGAGTCGTAGAATCGAAATATGGAAAAACAAATTGGCATGTCATTTAAAAAAAACTCCAATTTTTGTGTCAAAATATCTATATTAGAACATATTTTATTGGTAATGGAATCTGCATTTTATCTGGTAAATAGTTTTATTGGGAGTAGATATTTTAAAAATCTGCAATGCTTGAAAATAGTTTAGTGAAATCTGTGCTATATTAGGTACTTTCCAAAATATTTTGATGAAATCTGTGTTATATTGGGTATTTTCTGATATTTACACCACCAAATACCTCCACCAAAATGTCATGAATTCATTGTTGATTTTGGAGAGCATCTGCAAACATTTTGGCAGATTTGGAGATAAGCAATTGAGTATTATTACATCTGTTTTAACAATGCATTCAGTGCCGCCAATTTTTTTAAAATTCTTTTTTCCCCAATAGAAGACATGCACACTTATCAGAAGTAATTACAATAATCAATAGTTATTCTTTAAGATAATCCTAGTTTTCTTCACAGAATTTTACTGACGTATATTGTTTTGTCCAACAATAAATAAAGTGAATATCTGTTGTAAATGAGAATTTAACAAATATTCTCTATTCGTATAAAGCTAATATAAAATAAAATTTAATTAAGAAAATTTTAATTGCAAAAATAAAAATAAAATTTGTTATTGCTGTGAACTAATTTACAATATCATTTAAATTCTAAGAGCATATGCAAATTAAGTGCACATATCTGAAACCATGAAAAAAATAAATTTTTATATTTAGTTTACTATATTATTGTGAAACAATATTGTAAATGAGATATGTCTATCTTCAAACCAATTTTTTATCTGCATTCTAACATTTTGCTTGCAGTTTTTCGTATTGTTTTATTTCTATTATATTTGGCCAATTAAGAAATGCAGCTTCATAGAAGGTAATTTTTGTATTCTATATTGTTAGAAAAATACGATATTTATGAAGAAATGTGTCCTACCAGTGGCTCTCAATATTTATATTCATCCTGATTTGGATTTGAAACCTCATAAACAGGCTGACTGCATGGTTTTTTTTTTTTTTTTTTTTTTTTTTTTTTTTTTTTCTGTTTGTCCCATGTATAACGTAAATATCAGCCAGTTTCTCTCAGGAAGACTTCCATGAAGATAGCCTTCCACTTAGGCAAATAACCCTCATGGCTTTGCCATTTTCAAATAACAACCTAACCTGAAAAGTGCAACAATTTCTTTTTCCATTCAAGTATCTCCATAGTCCCCATTATGATTTGTTATGAGAGTAGCAGATGTACTAAGATGCAAAAGAAATACTGATAAGAAAAATGACTGTTTAACTTCAAAAGTTGAATCCTCATGTACTAAAATACATATGTCCATACATGGTTTGCCACATAAAACTTTTTAGCAACATAATGCATTGCATCCTCAGTACTTTTTAGTGGGGTGCACATAATTATAAAGTGCAATGTAGTCTGTTGCAGTTTAAATAATAAGATTGACAGTATGAAATGTATATATTTTTCTTTAGTTATATATTACTAACATAATGACTGAATAAATGTCCAAAATGTGGATTATGTGAGTCATTCACAGATAAACATTTAAATTTTTCTGTAAATTTATGTTATATGATGCCATACCTAAATGCATTCATGTTTAGAAAATATTCTCATGCAGTATCAGTTGTATAAATATTTCGTAAATTATGTGAATGAATTTTTTTTTATTTATGACTCGTATTTATATATTAATTATTTTACTTATTTTATAAATTATATTTTAACTGCATCAAAAGTTATTACATAAGATAATACTTTGTAACTTCTAAATTTGTCTTTGGATACTGCTAATAATTAAAGTATTTTTGTTTGTTTGTGGCTTGTCCCACCCAATTGACAGTAACATCAGATCAGGTCTCTGATATCAGAACAGGCCTACAAAATTCATTACAGTAAGGGGTCAAGATTGTGCCTGTCGTTGGCAAGAGCCTTGAGCACCTGGTCAGTTCCACCCCTAATTTTGAAGGAGAGCACCCCAAGGAGATACGTTCGAAGGTGTTCCACCCCTCCTGTCTTACCACCAATCTCTCGAAAGGACTTGCGACATATTTAGAGTGTCCCCATGCTGTATACAGACACTATACATTTCATTTACAAACATCATTGCTTTCTCCAGAATTCGCACCCTGGCCCTTAGATATGGCAGTCAGCATCGCTAACCACTATTCTAGTTGGACGGCAATTAAAGTATTTGTCTAATTACTTTTTCTATATGAAGGTAACAAATTTGTCAAGATTATTACCTTCTTAGAGGAAAGAGAGTAATTTGTCTTGTGTTTTTAGTGTTACTAGGGTTTATTGGGATGTAGATTCTTTAGAAAAGTCTGAAGATTAATCAAGAGTTATTTATTTATATTTTGTATGAATGAATTGTTGAGAATAATGAGAAATTCTCGATTTATTAATTATATTGTCTTTTTTAGGGGGGGGCAAGAGAGTCTGGAAAAGATATTTTCTTCACTTATATTCTTGTTACTGGCTGAAATAAGTTTGACAAAACTTACTTATAAAAGCAGGTATTATATAAAATGCCAAAAACTGGATATCAAGTTATAAATCTATTAAAATTTCATGTTTCTTAGACATTTTATGCAAAGCTGAAAGACAAAGTATAAAATGCTCCTGATAATGTTTCTAATATCTTGTTGCATGACACATGACTTGATTTTCTTCCTTATTGCAAAAAGTTGATTCTTACTTTATTTTCCTCCCCCCTCCCAATTTCAAAGTCCTATATTTGTTTGTATTTCTTTCATCTTCATATACATCTTTTCAAGCCTTTCATCAGTGTCTTGTATTATTTTGCCGAAATAACATTTATCATTACGTAGAATACAAGTTTTTTCAGTTGGAATCTTTTCATGACTTTCTTTTAATATTTTATCTAGATAGTATCTGTGATTTTCTATAATGCCAAAGGAAAATATATATAACAGTAAAATAACTCTGATATTTGGAGAATGCGGCCAGCCTTTTATTTACCTGTTAAGTAATTTAGTATCAACATTTTTTATACTTTTCCTTGTTTAAGTTATAAAATACTTTAAAAATAATCTAAATTTAAATAAGTGTATGTATACATTTTGAGTTTTGGAAAGGAAGAAAGAAATCATTGCTTAGCAATAGTGAAAGGGGTGCATTGGGCAAAAAAGTTTGAGAACCACTGGTGTAAACATTCTATAGAATGCCTACTTTGCAATGTAGTATCTAATTTAAAAATGATGAAGCTGTCTGTGCAGTTAAATCATTTTGCTCATGAAGGTAATTTTTTTTTAATTAATTAACTTTTTTTATTTGGTAACAATGCTTTTCATTTCACAGAAGTATTTTTCAAATTATTTTGTGCTTCTGTAAAACTTGTGTCAGAAGTACCATACATTTATTTGTTAACTCAAATGCCACAAATGATACTTAAAACTTTTAACTGTATTTCTTTTTTATATAAAGTTTCTAAATTTCAATGTTTTAAAAATTAAATTCTGATTTTATAAATTTTGACCATGTTATGAAAATTTCATTTCATTATGTGTTTGCCTATACTAATAAAATGACTGTTTGATCATTTTTTTAGCATTCATGGTACTTTCTGCTTATGCAACCCTGCCAAAATGTCGTGAAAAGTATTCATGAGGCAAAGCAGTATGTCACCAAATAATTATGTGGCAATTCACGATGTCATCTAGTATTAAGTATTTATGTGGCAGGTTAAGCATGTGTCTGTTTAGGGCGATGCGCATTGCTAAATAGCACGGATGCCGGATTTCTGCAATTCTGTGAAGTTTTTTAAATATAAACAGATCATTGTGTACACGGGAAGAAAAGAGTGCAAGAAAAAGGATTTCTCGAAAAAAAAATCCTTTATTACTGATGTTTTGGGCTTTTTTAAATAATTGTATTGATTGATTGCTCTTATATGGAATTCTTAGTGTGATGCTGTTTTCGAAATGGCAGTTCCTTTTTGTCATTAGCTTGGTGTAAAAAATGAGTTGCTGACAAGTTCATGAATAATTTCCAAATTTGATTATGAGCTCCCAAATTTTCATTAGGTATGCAGATAATCAGAAAGTACTGTATTCATTTGCTAATTAACCATATTATTATTATTAGTGTCATCCTAATTTGCATAGTTTTGTAATTTCGTTATACTTCTTGTGCATTTTATATATTTCTCTTGTGAAACTGAATGAAAAAGGAGTGAAATTAATTATTGGTGTTGGTTAATGAAGATGTATGTCAGAATTTATGTTTGGTGCATAAATGTTGTTAATTTTATTTTTGAGCTAGGAAAATTTTATGTAACATTCACTGATATAGATATGCATCTTAAATTCTTGTAATCTTTTCTCGCATTTGCATACAAACATTAATTTTTATATATACCGTATCTGCCGACATAAAAGATGCACCCCCTTTTTATACACATTTTTGAAGTATAAAACTATTACTGATCATTATAATGAATTTACAGTATTTTAAATATAAAGTAATACAAATACAAAGTAATACTTTCTGCAAATACCCAATCTATCTGGGAAAGAATGCTTTTAAATCTTTTTTTGTCAAAATCCAGACACTCATCTCCGGAGCTAAATGAAGAATCACTTGAAACTTCTTCTAAATCAGCATCTGAGTCCTCATACAACAAATTCTCCTCTGTACCATCCAGTGCATTACTAATGCCATTATGCAGTTCGCTTTTGTAGGTCATGTTTACTGTGAATTTTTTTTTTTTTTTTGGGATCCTCTTACTAATTCCACCAAATTCTTATCATTTTCTTAGTTTGGGGTGGACCGAAATGCCTCTCTGCAGCCCTGTTTCTATGTTCTTTAGCATACATAATCACACATAGCTTGTACACTATGTTATAGCAATGCCAACATTGTTTTTGAAACATAACTTCGTAAGAAATTTAAGAAAACTGAACAGTAGAAATTTCATACACTTATAAGTTGTTCACAAAAGCTTTAAAGTTTAAATGAACCTAGCTGTAATCGTCAATGACAGCACATGAGCATACACTGAACTTTATGTAACTGTAATATTATCACACTCTGCTAGGAAACAAGGGAAAAAATCGCATAACTCTGAATAGAGGAAATTTCCAGAAATTAATGTAATCAAAAACTGAGTATCGACGTACAAAGACGCAGTACTGACATATAAGACGCACTCCGTTTTTCAGACCTATTTTCAAAGAAAAAAATGTGTCTTATATGATGGTAAATATGATATATATATATATATATATATAGCGTTAATTAACTTCAACCTAGTGGGTCTTTTAAGATTTCTGAACTGAGCAGTGCAAACTTTTGATATTCATTAAAAATAACTTGTCTTTCTTATATTACTGTGCAGAAGATAATTTATTTCTGTTAACTTATTTGACATTATTATCTTGATATTTGGCAGATATGTGTATATGCAGATAGAGGACAAAATAATGCGAACAACTGGGAAAAAGTATGACATATTTCACAGCGTACACGAAAGAGGTTAAGACGACGTCTTCAAAGCACAACAATGGCCGAAAGTCAAAGTTGGCTGATAGGGATAGACGGGTCTTGAAGCACATAGTAGTCCAAAAGCACAAGCAATCATTATTCGAGATAACATCCAAAATGAACAGGCATCTCCAGGACCCCATTTCAACAAAAACTGTCAAAAGGGAACTTCAATCTGTGAAGATTTATGGCAGAGTGGCAATTCGTAAACCCTTGATGAGAGCAACTAATGCTTTCAAGCGATGCTAATTTTGCAGAGATCACAAAGGCTGGTCCCCACAGCAGTGGCAACAGGTAATATAGTCAGATGAATCGTCATTCATCCTATTTCAGATGATCGGTTGCGTTTATGTCTGGATAATGTCCAAAGAAGCGTTTCCTGACTGCCTCTTGCCGACTGTGAAGTATGAGGGTGGCGCCATTATGGTATGGGGTGCGATATCTTGGCGCGGTCTTGGGCCACTTGTTATTCTGCATGGGGGGATAACATCCAATCACTATCTAAGCATTCTAGGGGGATCATGCCCATCCTTTCTCCGGACTGTATTTCCTGGGGAGCGACTGCTTTTTCAAGACGACAACGCCCCCATCCACACTGCTTCTTGGTTCGAAGAGCATGACGATGCAATTCAACATCTCATTTGGCCCCCCTCAGTCTCCAGACATAAATATTTTTGAACATTTATGGGCATATTTGGAGTCCAAACTTTGTTCCCGATTTCCACCTCTATCCAGACTTTCGGAATTAGAGACCGCTCTGCAGGAGGAATGGCTTAATATTCCTTTAAATATTGTCTATGACCTTTATGCATCTATCCCACATCGCATTCAATCTGTACTTCAGTCACAGGAGGGGTCCAACCCCCTATTAATAAAGATTTTCCATTATTTCACAGGTGTTCCTATTATTTTGTCCTCCATCTGTATATATTTTCTGTTATGTATGTATTTGTAAGAATTTACTTTTGTATTAGATGACTATAATTTAATATGAGGTGTCTCAAATATTCTGATTTAAATTTTATTAAGTGTCAGAAACAGTTCTGTTAACCTGTTATTTACTTATTTATTATTTTCTAAAGTATTTAAAAGAAATTAATGTGTTAAAATGTGTAACTGAAGAAATAAAAATTTATTTTAAGTGTCTATATATATTTATTTTAAGTGTCTATATATATATATACATTTAGCACCTGTTAAGTAGAAATGTTGCATGTTTTTCCTTATGGCTGATGTTTATTGAAATAAATCACTAGTTATTTCAATGTAGTAAAAGATTCTTTAAATAACAAAATGAGTTTTTAAAATTTTACTTTTAACAGTAGTTTTATTGCTTTGCTGATAATAAAAATTATTACTTAAAAAATCATAAATTATACTTAAAGTAAGATATTGAAAAATTATATCTGAAGGCTTAACAAGTCTTTAAATCCTGTGTAAACTTTTTTAATAAAGCAAATATCTGTGTTTGTATTAGTTATTTAAAAAAATAGAGAAAAACAGGGTTTGTATTTAAATTGTAAATAATTTTTTAACATGCCAGGAATTTCTTACTTGTTACAGACAAATAAAAAATTTTAAATTTCATAAACTTAAGCAATTATTAGAATTTTAAATGTAAGTTCACTTGTTTAAGTGTTTGAGCTTTCTCTTTGACACTACAAGACTAAAACCCTGTTATGGATGGAACCATAGTTTTAGGCTGTATATTTCATTTTATTCAAATTATTATCTGGTTTCAAATCTCCAAATCATTTTATTTCTAAAACAAAACTGAAAATAGAGGAAGTTAGCTGTTGTATCATCATTCATGTCCAAAAGTAGTTGTATTTTATAAAATCATGATTTTGAATACGTTGAAATATAAATTTAGACTTATGGGAAGTTAACTAAAACAAAAATTCATTCTTCAATTTATAAACATTTTATTTGTATTTCAGTCTAAAATTTTAATTGAGCAGTAGCAGTAGTTAGCAGACTAGAACTGAAAAGTACTGACCTAAAATAAATTATAAGTAAAATATAATGTAATAAGATTAATCTACGTATATATATTTTTTGCTAAGCTCCTTTTGTATTTTTTGCTTTTAAATTGCTTAAGTAATTGACATTAAGGAGTTAAGGCAACATTAACGTTTATTATTAATTTCTCATCCTTCGTAATTCAATTATTAAAGATTCTACTTTCCTCTTACGTCATATTCCTAAACTATTTTTTGCTTCCTCCCACTTTATTATAAATATCTTCTTCATAAAATGTGTTCTAGTTTTACTGCATTTCTTAGTTTTGCCACAATTCTTATCGTTTTTTATGTATGTATACAAATAGTTACTTCATATATAGATATCTCTTTGGATTGCATAAATGATGACATCTTGCTTTTGAAATTTTTTTATCATATCTTCATATTTTATTAATGCTTATTTTTAATTTAGTTTTTAATACTTCTTTATTTCTGTACTTGTTTTTTTTTGGGGGGGCCCTCTATAAAAGCTTACTGTAGTTTGAAAATTTATGATGTAGTTTGTAATTAGACAGAGCTACTTAAAAACTTATTTAAAACCCCATTTGATTTTTTTTCTTTTGAAGTTAAATTTCAGTAACTTCAAAATAATAAATAGCTGCTGATTTTAAAATTAATTTTTGTGAGCATGGTGATCTTTCTCATTTTCTGAAAAAATGCATGACACATGAAAAAGATTGGGAATTAACAAACAAGTCTTTGTAGTATCAGATTCAATTATTTTTTATTACTTATATGCATAATTGTATTCTCACTTTTGCATGGTAGTTAAAACTTGTCAGTCAAAGTGTAACAAAGTTGAAAATTAACTTTTTACAAATTGTAGTTATTTTGAAAGTAATTTACTTGACCCTAAAGAAATCTTAAAAAATTTTAATAATATATGTAAAGATGATCGCTGAAAGAATTTTTTTTCTTCAGAATTCTTTGCTTTGGTTTACTATTTTCTGAACTGTTTCTGGATTTCATGAATCATAGCTAATATTCATTGTATAAAACTGAATTTAGATTTCTAAAGTTATAAGCATAGTGCTATTTTTGAAATCAAATGTTCTTAACTTTCCACAGGTATTTTCAATGGCTTCACCTGTAACATGTGTGAAAAATGGTTTTCTTCACAAGTTACATTTTCAAAACACAGGATGTGGCACCATAAAGGAAAATCTACATTTTATAAATACAACTGTACTCAATGTCCCTATTCAACTAACACTTCTACTAATTTCAAGAAGCATGGTGCTGTACATAGAAACTATCATCCATATGAATGCCATGTTTGTGGAAATAGATTTGCTTCTGTTAATAGTTTAAAAGTACATGAGATCATACACACTGGGGAAAATATGCTTAGTATCCCAATAATGGTACAAAATCAGTGTCAGTTCAAGAATTTAAAAAATATTTTGTAATAATTTGAGTCTTTTTTATGACTTTTTATTAATAGCTTTTGTGCAAAATATTCAGTTTCAACGTTTGCAATACTATGATTAGTTTTTAAAGTGTTCAAAAAGGAGAAAGCTGTCAGTGCTTGTTTTGTAATATTTTATGTTTTCTTGTTTTGTTGGATCTTTTCTATTATAAGATAGCATGGGCCAAAGAATTTTCCACAAGAAGATATACGCACCAACTTGAAACAAACAATTGTACACTATGGTATTAACTGTACTTTTATTCTTTTTTTGTGTGGAGATGTTTTAATTAAGATTATCCATTTGAATGGATCGTAATTGATATTATGGCCTAAATATCTGGTAACGAAAGTTTTCTGCCAAAAATAAAATTAAAAGAAAACATGAAAGCAGTACCTTTAGTGCAGGTAGTAATCACCACCCAAATCTATGATTTTCTGTCAATGTTTTGATAGTTTTTTTAAAGCCTTTGGCCCAGAAACTTGGTTACCATGAGTTCAAAAACAGTTCAACTTTATTTCAGAGGTCCTGTGCAGAATGGAAGATAGCACCAGCAAGATGTAGCTCCAGGTATGAAAAAAGGTAGAAGTCCAAAGGAGCGATGTCAAAACTATATGGTGTATGTGGCAAAAGATCCTATTCAGGTCCATACAGATTCCAGCCGGTAAATGCAGACACACGTGGTTTTGCATTATCTTGATGGAACATGACTTTTTTTGCACCTGAACTCACTTTTCACTTTTCCTTGATGGTAGCGTCAACATGGACTAGCATCTCGCTGTACACCTTACTATCAAGGATTTACATTTTTCCAGATATTCTTTGTGAATAATACCAAGGCAATCCTGCCAGATACAAGGCATGATCTTTTTGTTAGTCAATTTATGATTTGCAACTCTGCTACGGGCTCACCAGAGGCAGACTAACCCCCTTTCTGGGCTGTATTGTTGAAGTAAATCTGCTTTTCATCACAAGTGATTGAACTTCTACGTCGAGTTTATGCATCAAGATGCATAGCATGACTAATAGACATGGCACTAACGTATAACTCCTTAGCAATCTCTTGAGTGGGTGCATACCGATCTTCTTCCACAAGTTTTTGCAGGTTGCCCTCATCATTATCAGTAGGGCAGCCAGAGAGCTCTACTTCGTGAATGTCAAAGTCCTTGCTTTTTAACTTTCGGTACAAAACCTTCTAAGTGGTATAAGATGTAGCATTCCAAACCTTCACTGTGTCGTATTAGTACCTAAAACTGTACACAAGTTTTGGTGACATTTTTTATCTGACGTTTTGCAACAAAACTGGAAGTAAATGATGGTTTTAATCTGGTAGTGTTATGGTTCCATATCGGATACCTTGTAGTGAATGATAACGATACTTTTTTAAAAATTTCACAACACAGTATTTTAAAGCAAGTCTCTTTCAAATGGCAAAAATCATCTGATAAAATATGATTAAACATGCGAACTGTTTGCGTGGACGATATTTGCGGTGGTGGTAAACTTTCGCTAAAACCCGATATGTTATTCTTATCTGTCATAATATTGTTCTCGTTTTCAAATTAAATATTCTCTATAAAAACTTTTTAAGGTTTGCCTTTTTTTTTGGATTAAATAATGTATTATTTAATGAGGTATAATTCTTTGTGCTTAAAAAAATTTTACTTCCCATGTTATCCTACAGCAGAAAAGTTTTTTCCTTGTTTTTTATTTCTTTTTTATATATAATTTATTGATTGAAATGCATAATAATGTTTTCTGAATCTTGCTGCTAATCATGTAATATGTAATTTCTTCATTTTGTGTAAATATAAATATTTTACTTTTTTGATAAGAAAATCTTCTCTTTTTTTCTAACATAATGGCATTCATCATTCTTGTGTAATGAAGGAATGTATAAAAAGGCTTTGTGAAGAAATTATATTTTCTTGTAACATTAGCTATTTATAGCTTGATATGTTGGATATACTTTTTTTAAGGTATGCTGTAGAATAAAATTTAAATGAATGTTTTTATACTGTCTGACTTTTAGAAGACATCTACTGTAATGTTTTTATCATATTTACTTTTGTGATTTATCCAAATCAAACTTCCCCTCCCCTCATATAGCATTTTGCATGAAGCATATCTCAAGCATAGTTAGTTTTATGTCTTAAAACATATGCAATGCAAATATACATTTGTACAATTTGATTTATATTGAGTATTGCTGATTTTAAGTACACAGCATATGATTTCTTTGTCTAGTATTATGAATTTTGTTTCATATTCTGTGTGTGCTTTTTTATTTATTTTGCTACATTTTAATTTTTTTTGGGGGGGGGTATTCTTGGTTTCATTGTTATTTTGGTTAAATTGGCAATGCAAATATACATTTGTACAATTTGATTTATATTGAGTATTGCTGATTTTAAGTACACAGCATATGATTTCTTTGTCTAGTATTATGAATTTTGTTTCATATTCTGTGTGTGCTTTTTTATTTATTTTGCTACATTTTAATTTTTTTTGGGGGGGGTATTCTTGGTTTCATTGTTATTTTGGTTAAATTCTTATTTTTATTATGGAATTGCAAAAGACGATACAATTTTTTTATATGTTTTATATGTATTATGCTATTTTTCTAATAAACATTAAAACTAATAAACTAAAATTTAATAGACAAAAATTGTTGAAAAAAATATAAAATATTAGGATCTATATTAATAATACAGAGAGAAAAGTTATCTTGATACACTCATAAATGGTTTTCAGGTTCTTAAGGGATGCTGCATAAGCTTACAGTCAGTTTCCAGTTTACCCGAGAGGGGAAGGTTAACCCGGTTGTTGCTTAACTGGGGCTTCCTCCCTAAAAAAAAAAAAAAGATGGCCTGGTTGGGGGGGGATATTATCGCAAGAATCATGAGCAGACAAGCTAGTGAGAGGTAAAACTTTAATTGATGAATTTTCATGCTTATTTCTGCCTTTCTCCTTTCTGACACGTTTTTAACAATCTGACTGCAGTTACAAGTCCTATCTCCCCCTTACAGCTGATAATATATGTGCTCTTAATTTGACGATAGAATAATCATAGAAGGTTTGGTTCACAAATCTTGTACTTTTGCTGAAACAGAAATTGCTAACATCAGAACTCGCTCGGACACTTCAAGTAAAAGCTTAGATTTTACTTTACAAGTGGTTGTGAGTTACTGTAATATGTATTGTTTGCAGAATGTCAGAAAAAAAGGTGGAAGCGTGTTTTTCTTTCCATTTATCACAAGCTTAAAACAATAAGTAAAGTAGAGAATGGTTCAGATGTGAAGTTAGTGTCTTTGCAGTACAGACCACAAGTGGGTTTTTTTTTATGGCCTTTGAATTAACTATAATTTTGAGTTAACTGTGCATATCCTCCACTATATTACCTAGGTAAGTCGGGATCCCCTATATTACCCAGGTAAGTCGGGAGTTGACTGTAATTTTAAAATGTTACATGATAACATAAAGTATGTAGAAGTTAATTGCTAATTATTAGCAGAAAATATTTACCAAAGTCTATAGAATAATAAATATATTTATGATTATAAAATCATATGTTTAATATAGTCTATTTTTAATATAAATAAAAATTAATCAATATTCTTGCATAACTTATTATAATTTTTTCTGCAGTATAATATTCTTTAAAAAAAGCTGTTGCAAATTCATTCTTTTGTTTTCATTTAACCACAAAGAAAAGTAATTAACATGATTTTCCAAAATGCTAAATGGCAGCCATCATGCTGATTTATATAGTTTTAATGATTTATGTCCTGGCAGGGAATATATTCAAAAGCACAGAAGTCTTTATATGTGTTAAATATTGTGTTCATTCCAGTTCATTTTATTTGACTAAAGAGGCATTCTTGGAAGTTTATTATTTTTCATTTTAAATATTTCAGCGCTGACTATGTTAAATATTTTTATATTTAATATCCTGCTTTAAATTTGATACATACATCAACTTTTTACAATATATACAGCCTTGACTAAGAGTATATATATATATAAAATATTGGATTTAAAAGTATTGAAGATATTTTGATCTTGATACAAGTATTACTTGAATGCATGAAATATTTTGTTACAAGTCCTTAAAGCCCTATCTACGCAGGGAGATTTGGCATCTAAATTGCTCCAAACTACTAAACAAATCAAAGTAGTCAAAGCAGATGATGTGATCTTTATATATAGAAGACCTCCAAACTGGTATCATAAATTTCAAATTTTTCAGTTCTTAACTTTTTAAATAAGATGTAATTATAATAATGATAGAAATAATAAACAGAAAGCTTAATAGCAGACTGAAAGTAACAGTGATTAGAAATTCCAATAAGTTGCAAAAAAAATGCAGCACTAAAAGTGTTGTTGATCTTGATCCTCCCTTTTTTTGTCTGTATCACATCAAATGTTATTGCCCTGTATTATTTGTGAAGAAGTAGTATAGTGAATATAAAAGAATGTATGACAACATTAACACTGCTGTTGAATTTTGAAATGCAAATGCGAAGAAAGTGATGTTTAATAAGAGCAGTTAAAAAGGCAAAAAAATATTCTGTATGTCATGTTAAGTAAATTGAACACTGATGCGATGAATTGAGGAAAGATTGAAAAAAATAGAAAAATGTATGACAACAATTTAACACTTTGTCAAGAATCCTAAAGATCTGCTGCTATTAAACATTTTGAGATTTTACTGTTGAATTTTATGTTGTGTAAGTGGGAAGAAATTGATGTTTAATTAACTTTTAAAAAGAGACACACGCACACACTCACAAAAAAAAAAAAAAAAAAAAAAAAAAAAAAAGGTTGACAGCAGGATTGAGTACAAGAAAGATAATTAAATTGCAAGCAGAGAGAGCATATAAAAAACTTTAACAAACCATTTGGTGAGATGTTAAAATCTGAATCCTTTCAGATTTCTTTTCTTTCATTGAAAAAGGGGGAAGTGAGAGAGTTAGTTTAATAGTAGTTATTAATGTCCAAAAGTCTGCAGTTATTTTGTTGTAAAATATGTACAAAACAATAACTGAAGATATTTATATATATTTTGAGTTAATAGACATATGTTCGAGTTGGTGTGTGTGTAAAAGACTAGAAAACTGCATCTATAGCACTTTGAATGTTTGATCATGAATATTGCAACAAAGCTCAAGTACATCCAGAAAAGCAGTTTAGAAATCTCTTCAAGCCACTTTAAGATCAATGAAGAGTAGTGAAACAGTAATTTAACATGGTAAATGTACACTGATAATTTTTAATTACTTTGAAAATATGAATAGGAGCTGATTTGCCAAAAAAAAAAAAAAAAAAAAAAAAAAAGACTAAAAAATTACAATTTTTGAAGCAGGTGAACTGGAAACTTTGTAAGCAGTCATTAATTTAATATTAACACTTAATACTTACAAAATCTTGCTTCAAGAATGGCAAAAACACTAAAGAATTTGTTTCTGATATTTATATATATTCTTTACACAATACTTATACCAGTTTCTGATATTTATATATATTCTTTACACAATACTTATACCAGTGTATGGACCACCCTTTGAATTCTTTTTGTAATTCTGTTATTAACTGTAGTGGAGAGAAGTTTTTCCAAGCTGAAATTAATAACAGTTTGTTTGAAATCATGTTTAAGTTTTGAAATAGTTGAAATGCTTTGTATTCCTGCCTGCAGAAATGCGATTGCTCGAGAATTACAGTATAATAACATCTTCAGCAATCAGGCCATACGAAAGGCAACTAAATTCATGATAAATTGCATTTATAATAGATTTCTTTTGTTAAAAATATTGTACATGTAATTGCAGTAGGTTAGCTATCTCATAAAAGGTTGGTATAAGGTTGATAGAACTAAGAAAGAAAAATATATACAAGTATAAAAAGTGAAATATGTGATATTTTGGTCTGATAGTGAAGAACTTAATGAATAATAGCTAATATATTATCATAACTGTTATTCTCTTTTCTTCAAAATTTAACCCTTTATTTAATTTTTCTATTTAATATTCACCTTTTACATCTTATTTGTAGTCACACATACATAAAGTTGAATTTTCTTTTATTGAATACGTACGGTTTGATGTTTTTGAAAATTAAACAAGTAAGCCTTGATTCTTAATTGAAATGAATAAGCAAATGTGAAACTTTTCGTGGTATGAATTGCATGTAATGAGAATGGGAGAATGAAAAGATAGAGAATAAATGTAACTCTAAAATTGTATAAGTTTTGAGACATGGTTACAAGATTAAATATAGGTTGGTTAATTATTTTATTGTTTTATTTCACAACATAATTTGAAACTTTGCACAACAATGAGCAGTAAAGTTAAGAAAATAAATCAACTTTTGAAATCAATCAAAAACTTTTCTCTACATAATGTTTCTGGTAAAAACATTGTTAAACTTTAATAAACATTGATAAGCTGAGTGCATCAATGCCACATGCATTGTTTTTTTTTTTTTTTTTTTCTCTTCACCGTTTCTAATATAAGTTATGCTAATAGTAAAATACTAGTAAATAGCAATTAAATTGCATTTAATTAGGATTAATGTTTTATAATGTATCAATAATGCAATTAGTGCATGATTTTTAGATTAATGTACTACTAATGAATTAAAATTGTTATGCTGTGATAAATTATGTTTAATAAATGCTATTTTTGTTAAATGTAATAAACTCTAAAATTTAAATTATATTAAATATTAATTACATTAATTTTCATATATAAGTTAAAAATTAAGTTTCACAATTTCATAAATGTAATACAAAGCAAGTACTGTATAAAAGTATTGGTTTCAATAAATTATATTAGAACATATTTTCATAAAATGTTTATTAAATTTGTATAAGATATATATTAATTTAGATTTTACCATTTTCAGTAATTAAATCTATTATGATTTAAAACTTAAAAATAATCTAAGACTATTCCAATAATTTCTCCGAGTACTCTTAAGACCTCTGTTCTCGGGAAAAAGGGTGTTCA